TGTAAGCTGAAAGCTGATGCTTTCATGGGGCTGGATAAAGTGTTTAAGTGCTTTTTGTCCTGCTCAGCCTGTCTCCGTGGCTGAGCATGAAGGTGCTGTTCCTCCATAGACTGCTGTAGGATCACTCGATGGAGCAGAGATGTGCTCTGCTTGCCATGACAGCCTTGGAGACATCCCAGGATGCTCAACCCTGCTCTCACCGCAGGTACTGTTTTCTTCCCCAGGAAATGACACACCGGTGGCCTCTTGTGATGCTGTCTTTCAGGGAGTTCACCTACCACTTCAGGGTGGCACAGACTGTGAGTACAAGCAGCTGCTTTGTTCCTCTTGTCCAGGGCTAAGTGGGAGGACGGCAACGGGAATGTGGCATCATGCATCCTACCCCAACCTGTAAGCTCTTCTTGCTTTCTCACGTAGGGCCGAGCCAACTGCAGCACTACTCCCGAACAGATGGGACACCTTTTTACTGACTATTATTTTCAGTTCTACTGGCTCTGTGAGTGAGTCCTGGCAGCACCAGTGCCCTTTGGTTGGAGAGAGGAGGGGGACTGGTGACTCTGGGGAACTTCCTGTACACCCTCCTCCGCTGACCCCCAGCCCCACCTCAGCCCCATCGCCCTCCTTGGGGGTGGAGATGGTTTGGTTGTGGCTGGCGGTGCTGACACTGAAGTACAGCACATACGGAACACAGGACCTAAGCCACAGAAACACAACCAGCCCTGTGCCATCTCCTGGGCTCACCTAGCACCAACACTACCCCAAACACCCCTCCTTCCCTTCTGGGGACACTTGTGTCCCCCAGCCCCTGCAACACTGGATTTGAAAGCGTTACACTGGATGGAACGTGGATGGATCTGCCACATCCCAGAGCATGGGACTTGCCCAGCTGTGCCATGTCAGTTCTCCACAACACTGGAATTGCTCAACACTGGAGCCCTTTCCAAGAGGGAAAAGCTGGAGTTTCACCTGGAAAGGAAAGGCTGTGCCTGGACATACTGGAAGTTGTACACTGGAGTTGCTGTTCCTTCAAATTGGACCTGCAGCCCCACCGGACCCCTGGAGACCCCAGGACTCCTGTTCTCCACAGAAGGTGCAGCTTCCGCATTTGCCCCCCTCCTCACTGTGCTGTCACTATATCCAGGTCAGGATGGATAAACTCAAAAACCCCACTAAAGATGCTGCTCAGGCTGTGCTCAGGCCAAACTACACGTGGGGACACTTAACCATCAGCCCCTGGGAGGAAAACTACCCCAAGCCACTTGTGTTAAGTGTTGGTTAAACACTGTAGGACCCATTTTCTTCACTTGCCAGTGGCCACTTGTGGTGTGCACAGAGCTGCCCAGTTGGCTCTGAAGAAAAAGATGACTGGCCAAGCCCAGTGTGCCCTGCAGAGCACAGCTGGACTGCTGGGGCTGCGTGGTGTGGTTTCACTACGTAACCAGCGGGGGAAAAGCAATGACAGTGAGTTCTCACTGCCTCTGCTCTCAGAACGCAGTTACGTTGAGTGTACTCTGGGTATTTTACTGTTACAAGTTCTTAACTTGCTAAACTACTGAATTTAATTTCTTTTTTTAAGCCGCATAAAAATGGGTCTCTTAATTCTGTCCCTGTTGAGCTCTGTGCATCTTGCATAGGAAACCAAAGGGGGGCACTGCTAAGCTCGATGTTAAAGCCTGATTGCTGCAGCAGTACTGGGATGTCAGCTCCCAGTGCTCCCATGCCCTCCTTTCTGTCCTGCTCCAGCAAAAGGAGACCTCTGTGCTCCTGGAGGCTGAACCACCACCAGCTCCAGAAAATGGAGACTCATTTTTCTAAGGAAGCAGCACTGGAGAGTGGCAGCGAGGGGGAACACTCCGGTCCTGAAGGAAACCCTAAAGCTGATTAAGAGAAGAGCACACCTTTTGGGAAACAACATCAGGGTCTGGCTGCTGCATTCATTCTGTCAGTGGAGGTAGATGCAGCGATCCCTTTGCCAGCTGCAGGCCATGTTTTTTCCATCGCTGAGGAGCACAGGGCAGGAGCACCTCTCTACCAGCAGGCTCTTCTGCTCTGGAGAAATGAGCTGCAGAGTTGTTTTACCTGATAGATGGTTCCTACATGCACTGCTTCTGTTACAGAGCTCCCTTCTGAGGCTGTCCCAGCAGAGCAGCTGCACCCTTGCAATTCCTTGCAGCATCACTGGGATTTTGTGTGGCTGCCCTTCCAGGACCTTGCCCTTTCCTTTATTTGCAGGGCAGTTCCAAGGTCAGATCTCTATTCCAATGCTGTGCCCATGGGCAGCAGTGGATGATATGGGTGATGCTCTCCAGCAAGCACAATGCACTGAAGTCTGGGCAGCCAGGAACCAGAGGGTGAGCAGGGAATGCCAGGCAGCCAAAAGGAATGAAGCTTAGGGAGACCTTTGGGGAGCTCGGAGGGAGAGCAAGAGGCACGGCAGCACAGACACAAACAGGTCAGCTCTGTGCTCAGCAGGATTTTCTGCTTCTGCAAGGAAACCCTCTGGTGGACTCTCAGAGAGGATGCTCAGCACTCCTCTTTCCACCTGTCCTACCGTTCTGCTCAGCCTTAAACTGAAGAAGTTACTTTCTTGGCAGCTTTTACTCTCCACTTGGCAATCAGTGGCTCAGCCAATCCTCGTCCTGGCAAGCAATGCCCTGTGCTCTGCCAGCTCTGCTCAGCTGAGGGGCAGCCTTCTCAGACCCCACTGCCATTTCTCCTACCTGCCCACGCTCTCTTGTAGCCCCCACAGAGGTAACAGGCAGTGCCGTGACGGCTGGAGCCGACAGTGCTGCCTGCAATCACTGCCACCAATCTACCCTTGCCAACGGAGCCCTGAGCCACACATGTGTCTCCCCAGCTGCAGGCAGGGAGGGAGAAAGCAATCAGCCACTGGACACATGCCAGCCCAAGAGGAGATGGGGGTCTCTCAGGTGTCCCTGTGATGCTCAGCCATTGGGTTACAATGGCCTCAGCAAACCAAGTGCCTAACGGCTATGGGAACATGTCTAGTGCCTTGTTCTGCCAGCAGGGTTCCCTACGCCTGTGTGTCTCAAAAACAGCGGTCTGTCAGCTTGAGAAACAAGATAAGGCAATACCCGAAGTGCAACAGGTGATGCTGCAGCTGTTTTACAGCAGGAAAACAGAAGGGGCTGAGAGCAATCCGTGGTATCAGAGGAGAGATTCAGAACATCATCTTCAGCATCTTACGTTGCAGTAATTTGTCTTAATGTACATCACAGATCACACATCTGTTCCACCAGCAGCCGAGCAGCAATGAGCTCAGAAGGTTTTTGTAACAAAAAAAAAGTCAACAAGACTGCTTCTCAGCCCACGGGAACAGCCGTTTGCACAGACCACCCCTGGAAGCTCTCTGCCCTGCCCATCCTTGCCCACTGCCCTGTTCCCCACTCCCAATTGTAACTAGAGAGTTCACAATCAGGCCTTTACCTGCGTGAGACGGAGGGAGCTCTGAGCCAATGTCTCCAGCCCTGCAGCTCGGGGAAACCCTTCTTCAGCTGGAAACAGGAGCTTCATCTCTCTAGACATTCTTGGCAGAAAGGAAGCCAAGCATGGAAACGAGGCCACTTGCCAAAGTTTGGCTGTTTCGGAGTTTGTTTCAAAAGCAAATTCACAAACATTCTGTCCTACTGTCAAGAGCTTAAAGCCTGTAAATAGAGACTATACCACCACAAGAATTAAGAAAAAAAAAAAGTAAAGCACTAATTTGTTTGGTTTAAATGTTGCTGTCACTGCTTTAATCACTGTATATTGCCAGCGAGTTCGTAGAGTTGCCTTCTTAGCAGGTATTATTGATCATAGGTTTTTATTTGTGGGGAACAAGTGTGGTTTCCCTTCCTTTCTTTCTGATTTATATTTATATTTTGCTAAATTGGAGTGCTGAGTCTTCAGATTCCCCACTTTTATGTTTGGCTTATTTAGACTTTGTTTTATGCTGGAGGTAAATATGCCTATATAAATAAATATATGAATATTGCTTTGTACTCAAGGATGGCTCCTGGCTGTGTTCCTCCCTCGCTCTTTTTTCCCTTTCAGTTCACAAACTGCTCATCACAAGAGCGAGGAACCCCAGTGCAAATGACTCAGTGGGAGCTGCCAGACGTGCCCACAGCGGGCTCAGGACAACTGCAGGTGTCCTGCTTTGGAACAGACGTAAGAAGAGCTGTGGCTGCTCACATCTCAGAGGTCAGGGCCACATCCAGAAGGCATCTGACAGAACCTGCAGAGGGAAAGCTTCCTCCGGACAGTGTATCAAGGCTTTAAGTCTGTGTGGTACCTGCAGAATTCGTAACTCCGAGTCCTAACTGCTCTGAAGGCGAGGCTCCAAATGCAAGCTGCCTTACAAGCAGAGCGATGCGTGCCGTAAATAAATGCTTTCAAAGCATTAATTCAATAATGCTTGAACAAAGGACACAGTCAGCTCAAGCATTCCTCCAAAACCTCATGTCCCACAAACACAGTTTGTGTCACCCGAGACTTCTAGACTCCAGCTGCAGCAGGGCACAAGGCAGCACTGAAACACTTCTGGGCATACACAGCACTGGACATCCATGAACAACAACAAGTCCTCAGTTGGAGTTAATGCTTCTTTCAAACAAAGCTCTAGCTCATTAAAATGCTCTTTGTAACTTTTCTGCAGTGCTGAGCGTTGTCCAACCAGACACCACTCACTGCAGCACAGGAACTCTATTGCCAAGACATCTGAGTTCGATACCAGGGTGCTACACACCACCAGCTGCAGTTTCACAGCATTTGTTACTCTCTGCAGTAGGATGTCTAGCTAAATTCCCCTCGTTTTTTCAACTGCTTAGAAGGAAATATGAATTATGCTTATCGCCTTACAAAACAGCTGCTTCTGCTGCTCCAAACAGCCCAGGAAAAGGCTGTGGGTACAATAAAGGGCCTGTCCCAAGGTTTATGGATTTTGTGCAGAAATCAGAGTTGGTTCAGAAAATCAAGTACAAACATCTAAGAGACAAAACTGCAGGTGCATCACAGAGCCAGTTTTATTCAGGTTTGGTTTGTTGTGCTGGCAGGAGTCACCTGACAGGAGTACAGTCCATGCCTGAAGCAAGCTCCCACACTGAAGTATAAAACAAATACAAAAAGAACTTCTCTGGAGTTTCCCACCTGGAACCAAAGGAGAAAGAAAGGAGGTAAGGCAGATTTCCCCAGAGCAGCATCCCCACAGCACAGGGACAGATCCTCCATCAGGTGCTGCGAGGCTGGAACCACACCCTGAGTAAAAAAAGAGCACACAGCAAGCACAATCCTCACTGCTTCACACCAAAATGAACGTGTTCTGTTTGCAGAAGCTCTCTCTATCTAAATCAGCCAGCAGCCTCACCCTGTCACTGGGCACCTCCAAAAACAGTCTGGCCCCAACCACTTGACTCCCACCCAGTAGATATTTATAAGGATTGATCAGATCCCCTCTCAGCCTTCTTTTGTCCAGGCTGAACAGCCCCAGGGCTCTCAGCCTTTCCTCGTGAAGGAAATGCTCCAGGCCCCCATCAGCTTTGCCCTTCACTGGACTCTCTCCAGCAGTTCCCTGTCTGCCCAGAACCGGGGAACCCAGCACTGGCACAGTACCCCAGATATGGTCTCCACAGGGCAGAACAGAATGAGAGGAGAACCTCCCCCACCTGCTAGCCGTGCTCTTTGTAACAGACCCCAGGATTCTTGGCCATGAGATCACACTGCTGGCTCACAGTCAACCAGTGGTCACCCAGGACACTCAGGTCCTTCTCCACAGAGCAGCACTGCAGCACCTCTGCTCCTAACCTGATACATGTAGTTATTTCTTGCTCTGCACAAGGCCCTGTACCTGTCAGGGTACAGCTCTTTGCGTGCCCCAAATCCACCCCTGAAGAAAGGTAGCTTAGAAACATAACCTGGAGTTATGCTTTGCAGGCACCTCACACACAACATGCAGCACAAAGCTTTCATCCTGCTTACAGCCACTGGAGGTCCACACGTCATTCTGCCTGGGCCTCAAACATAGATCCCAACCCACAGCAGCAGGAACAGGACACCAAACCCCATGAAGAGCGATGCCACCAGTGAGATCAGCAGCTCCTTGTAGATGTCTCGCGTGTACTTGGTGGATGTCACCTCATAACTGCCGGTGGAGGGTTAAGGTGACAACAGGGGCATGGCAAGGTGGGTCCCTCCACTCTCGGTGCCCAAGGATACACGAAGAACCATGCGGTGAAGAACATGCCAATGGCAAGCAGCACCACAGTGAGGTGCGGGAAGACAGCCGGGTTCACTGGGCTGGTGTACCTGCTCATTGCCTCTAGCTCCTGTGGGGGCATGGCACGGGGCAGCAGGGCTGCCGGGCCCCATGCTCAGTCCCTGGCCCTAGTTCCCCGGGTTCCCTGCCCCAACTATCATCCCTTTCCCGGCTCCTCCTCCCAGTTCCCGTTCCCCAGCTCCTAGTCCCAGCCCCGTTTCCCACTTCCCAGCCTCCAGCTCCCATTCTCGGCCCCAGCCCTCAGTTCTCGTTCCTGCTCCTTGTCCCTGAGTCTTGTTCCCCGCCTTTTTCCCAGTTCCAGCCCCCAGTTCCCATTCCCTATATCGGTCCTAGCCTCGGGTCCCAGGCCCCGTACTCCGTTCCTGCTCCAGGTTCTCCTTCCCATTCGCAGCTACTGACTCCAGTCTCAGCTCCCGGTTCCCACTCCCGGTCTCAGTTTCAGATCCCGGCCCCAACCCCAGCTCCCATTGCTGGTTCCCAGCCCCAGGTTCCCAATTCAATGTCGGTCCCAGTCCCGGGTCCACGCCCCACCATATTGCCCCAGATCCCGGCTCCCGCCGCTCTCGGACACGTCCCCTCAGCAACTTCCGCTTCCTGTCACCGCCGGAAGCGGAAGTGACGCGTTCCGGATCGGGTGGGCCGGGGCCACCCGGAGCCGTTCGGCATTGGCTACCCAGCAGGCAGCGCGGCCTAGCGCGGGAACGGCGCAGGGTCGGAGCAGAGGGGTAATGGCGGCCGGGCGCCGCGGCGGGGGCAGCGCGGGATAACGGTGGCTGGAGAGGGCTGAGGGAGAAGTGGCGGCGAGAGAGGGCTGAGGAGGGCTTGGAAAGGCCGGAGTGGGGCCGAGGTGGAAGTCGGGGCGGGCAACGGGAGGCTGCGGTGCGTGAGGCCTCCGTTCTTGGGACCCGTCCTCCCGTTTCTCTCAGCTCCCGGTGCTTTGCTCTGTGCCCGCAGGATGGGAATCCACGGCTTGGCCAAGCTGATCGCCGATGTGGCGCCCAGCGCCATCCGGGAGAACGACATCAAGTCGTACTTCGGGCGGAAGGTGGCCATCGATGCCTCCATGAGCATCTACCAGTTCCTGATAGCTGTGCGGCAGGGCGCCGAGGTGCTGCAGAACGAGGAGGGCGAGACCACCAGCCACCTAATGGGCATGTTCTACCGCACCATCCGAATGGTGGAGAACGGCATCAAGCCTGTCTATGTGTTTGATGGCAAACCACCACAGCTCAAGTCCGGGGAGTTGGCCAGGAGGACGGAACGCCGCTCTGAGGCCGAGAAGCACCTGCAGGAGGCTCAGGAGGCGGGCGAGGAGACCAACATTGAGAAGTTCAGCAAGAGGTTGGTGAAAGTGACCCAGCAGCACACCGACGAGTGCAAGAAGCTGTTGATGTTGATGGGCATCCCCTATGTGGAGGCGCCAGGGGAGGCGGAAGCCAGCTGTGCTACACTGGTGAAGGCAGGGAAGGTGTACGCGGCCGCCACAGAGGACATGGATTGCCTGACCTTTGGGAGCCCTGTGCTGATGCGGCACCTCACTGCCAGTGAGACAAAGAAGCTGCCCATCCAAGAGTTCCACCTGAACCGGATCCTGCAGGACCTGGGGCTGACCTGGGAACAATTTGTGGATCTGTGCATCCTCCTGGGCTGTGACTACTGTGAGAGCATCCGCGGCATTGGGCCGAAGCGGGCGGTTGAGCTCATCAAGCAGCACAAAACCATTGAGGAGATCATCCAGCACATTGACACCAAGAAGTACCCCTTGCCTGAGAACTGGTTGCATAAAGAGGCCCAGAAGCTCTTCCTAGAGCCTGACGTCGTCAACCCTGATGACGTTGAGCTGAAGTGGACAGAGCCAAATGAGGAGGAGCTCGTGCAGTTCATGTGTGGGGAGAAGCAGTTCAATGAGGAGCGCATCCGCAATGGGGTCAAGAGGCTGAGTAAGAGCCGCCAGGGCAGCACTCAGGGCCGGCTGGATGACTTCTTCAAGGTGACGGGCTCCATCACGTCGGCCAAACGCAAGGAGCCTGAAACCAAGGGGTCAGCAAAGAAGAAAGCCAAGACCAACAGTGCCACAGCCAAGTTCAAAAAGGGGAAATAAATGGACTGGCCAAGCACAAGCCTCTGTTGTTAGTTTTCGTGCTCAGCTGAGAACTTTAGGCTAATAATAAATAGTCATCTTAATGTTCTGCGGGTTATTTCTGGGAGGGGTGCTGTGTGTGTTGCTGTCAAAGTCCTTCCAACATGGCTAGGCTTGTGAGGGAGATGCCAGTCTGCTTCTGCAGCAGCTGCAATGCATGAGGGCAGGAAGGGGCTGAGACAACTTCAGGTGAGGGGAGCTGGCCGAAAGTGGTGGGTGAGGACTGGAGCAGATGCCTTCAGCAGTTCAGCTGCAGCATTTGTCAGTTGAAGGCTTTTGACAATGAGGCCACAGAAACTGGATGTCACGCCTAGTCAAACAGCCCTCTGATTTAAGTAACAAAAAAGTTGGACAGCTAGAGAGCAAATCAGGCACGGCTGTTTGAGATTCCTCCCTCACACAGCTCATCCATAAAGAGGCCAGATGCAAGCAGCAGGAGCAGAAAACAGGGAAAGGTGAATACAGGGCACAGTAGAGTTGGGAGGAGAATGAAATAATGAGGTAAGATGCTTCCTTTAGTGAGAATCTCAAGCGTGGGCTGCCTTCCTTTTTTGTAATTTTTCTTTGTTTAAAAAAAAAAGAAGTTTATTCTGGATTCAAAAGTTCTGGCTTATTCTTAACGTCTATAAACCAAGGACAAACTGAGCTAAAACTGCAGCACTGAAGCCCCAGTCTTCCCACTAAGCTCCATTTATGTTTAACAAGAAAAATGGCAGTAAAGCTGAAGTCAATAAAATTCACCCCTTACTTTCTTGAGGCATCCTTTCACGTTGTACACACAGGCACACAAGTCCCAGGCTAAGGAAAAAAAGAAAAGATATTACCTTTTTAAATTATTATTTTGTTCTGTGCTAAGCATAACCTTTTACTTGTCAGAGTGATCTGCTTTTCTGTTATCACTGTAGTTTTGTTTTAGTTTTTTAAAGAATAAAATGCGTATGCAAACATGACCTTTCTCAAGTTCTCTGGAGCGGTAGCTTAAACCTTGTTGAGGGCTGTGCAGGTAACAAACTCCTGATTTCAAATGGAAACCCGCTGGTGTAAATCAGTGACAACAGCCAACAAATGAAGCACAGGCTTGAAGGTGGGAGATCCACGTTTTAATGCTGGTGTTAATGGTGGCTTTGGGGTGCTTGGTTGATCTCTATCAGCTGGTTGCTAAGTTATAAAAGAAGCTGGGCTTGTTTCACAGGGGAATTCCGTTGATGTTACAAAAATAACCCGGGATTTTCAGCCCTCTGATGTTTTTAATAAATACACTGTAGCCAAGAGCAGCAAGTGTTTCTGATTTTAGGATCTTTTTAATAGAAGAATGTAAACACTGATGTGCCGCTGTGGGCCGCTGCTCCTGGGCAGCTGTGTGTGGTGTGCTTCAAGCTCGATGGCTGTGCTCTGCATAAGTGGTGTGCAGGCAAAAGCAATGCAGTCCGCTCCTGTCACTTACAGTAATTATTGCTTTGGAAGAATCTTCACCCAGAAATGCAGGACGTTTTTGCAGAGAAGTTTGGATTTCAAGATGTGAGGAGTGATGCTGTCAGTGTTGGTGCCTGACAGCGCGCAGCTCGTTAAGGAGATTAACCTGAAGCTTCACGTTGGTAGAGCCACTGCTTTGTTGCTCACGTGCTCAAAGCCACAGCGCGTGGGGCACTGGATGAAGGTTCCCATGCAGATCTCTGTCTTTGGACGCTGCTTCATCTTAAATCACAGGCAGATGCCCAGAAGGGATTATTTTCACCTTGAGGACACACCTGCCCAACCTTGGCACCCCATTATGCTTTATTTGATGCTTTTTTCTCCCATCTGTGGCTTTGCCAAAATGAATTTCCCCCACAGTCCACAACGGCATTAATGTTAATGAGCCCTTTCCACGTGGTTAACCGAGGAGGGGACCGGACCCAGGTTCACGCTTCCCAAAACTCTTCAGAGAGTTTCTAAACGATCCCCTCTGTGGCATGAAACCTCTGAGCCACCATTTACTTTGGGGGCTTTGCTGTTGAGGGTGGAAGCCATAAATAAGCAGTGCAGAGAAAAAGCTTGTTAGCTGGAACGCATGTCTTCCCTGCAGTAGATGTCCCCACTAGCTCATGCTACCTCACTGCTACCACACGCGAGCCGTGCCGTTGCTTTCCTTCCGCGCGGTTTCCTCTCCTGCCAGCAGGCACGCTGTGCTGACATACGGCGATACGGCTGAAGGCAGCAGCACGGCGGTGAGTCAGTTCCGTCCTCCTAGGAGTGACAGGTGAGCCTGAGCTGCAGACTCCTCTCTTCGTAGTGTTCTCAGGGATTCGTTTCATCGCTGTGCTGGGTGATGCTGGGCTGATCACACTGATCACGACAAGCCCCCAGCTGCACGCTCCCATGTACTTCTTTCTCTGCAATCTATCTGTTGTTGATCTTTGCTACTCCACTGTCTTTTCTCCAGGGCTGCTTAAGGTTTCTTGCTGGATAATAAAGCCATTTCCTACTCTGCCTACTTCACCCAGCATTTCTTTTTCCTCGTGTCTGTGACCACAGAGGCGCTCTTGCTGACCGTGATGGCATACGGCTGCCACGTAGCCACTTGCAACCCCTTGCTCTACATTATTTCCATGCCCAAGAGCTTTGCATGAAGCCGGTGGCTGGCTCGTGCCTGGGGGGCATTCTGAACTCACTGACCCAGACGTGCTGCTTGCTGTGCTTGCCGTTCTGTGCCCCCAGTATCATCAACCATTACTTCTGTGACACCAGCCCCCTGCTGAAGCTCACCTGTTCTGACGGCCACCTCCATGAGCTTCTGCTCATCACCTTCAATGGGCCGCTTCCCACGACTGCTCCTGGCCGTCACCTCACATGCATACATCCTCGTCTCCATCCTGAGCATCAGGTCTGCCAGGGGACGACACAAAGCCTTCTCCACTTGTGCCTCCCACCTGCTGGCTGTCACCTTGTTCTACGTGCCTGCTGGCCTCAGCCACATGCAGCCAGGCTCCAAGTAGTCACTGGATGTGGAGAAGATTCAGGGCAGTGTTTTACACCTTGCTTGTTCCTCTGCTCAACCCTGTGATCTACAGCTTGAGAAATAAGGATGTCAAGGACACACTCAGGAGAGCAAGAGAGAAAATATTCTCTCAAGCTGCTCACTGTGTATTCTGACTATTCTCTGTTACTTAGCAGTACATCCCCTTTCCTTGGTTGCATTTCTCCTAGAAAAACCCTGCTTTACAAAGATGCTTATTGTAAGGCATACAATTAATTCACTTTTGCATTTATGCATGGAATCGTGGCTGTAGACTTTCTACCAGAATTTACATGGTTCATGGAAGGCAAAGGGTGAGTCTTGATTAAACATTAAAAAAGCTTTTTGCCAACTGTTTTCCTCAAGGCATCTTTCACCCCAGGCAACAAGCTGTTAACTCAGGTTGAGGTTGAGGTCCAAATCCATCAGCAGTGTTAAGAATGTTAATTCTTGTCC